TCATGATAGTGGGTGGGGTGGGGTGGGGAAGAAGCATTAAAGAACTAGAGGAAAGTAGTATGTTTCATTTGTGGTGTACTACACCCTGACTGGTTCATCTCCTCCCTGTGACCCTTCTGTAAGGAGATGTCCAGTTGCCTATAGATGGGCTTTGGGTCTCAACTCTGCACTCCCCCTCATTCACAATGATAAACAGGAATCCAGGGCGGATGAGCCCTACAGGATTTACTTATCTATTTATTTATACATGACAATGGGGAATACATCTGTATATATATGTACAAGTTTAGTATTAAAGTAGCAGATGGACATTGAGCCTCAACTCAAGTACTCCCTCAACGCAAAAACACTTTTCTATCAACCTAGCATTCCATGATGCTCACCTTCCTGATATAATCGCTGAAGACAAAGCAGGTGCATAAGCAAATGTGGTGAAGAAAGCTGATGGTGCCCAGCTATCAAAAGATACAGCGTCTGGGGTCTTAAAGGCTTGAAGGTAAAAAGCAGCCATCTAGCTCAGAAGGAACAAAGCCCACATGGAAAAAGCACACCAGCCTGTGTGATCACGAGGTGTCCATAGGATCAGGTATCAGGCATCAAAGAACAAAAAAATCTTATCTTTAAAAAAAAATCATTTTATTAGGGGCTCATACAACTCTTATCACAATCCATACATACATCAATTGTGCAAAGCGCATCCGCACATTCATTGCCCTCATCATTCTCAAAACATTCTCTCTCCACCTAAACCCCCCGCATTAGGTCCTCATTTTTCCCCTCCCTCCCTGCTCCCCCACACAGGGGTGTCTTGATGGCCCTCATGAGATGGGTGGACACAGTGGCTGCAACAGTGGACTCAGGAGCAGGAGCAAATGTGAGGACGGCACAGGACTAGGCAGTGTTTTATTCTGTTGTGCATAGGGTCGCTATGGGTCAGAACTGACTTGATAGCTCCTAACTAACTAGCAAACCTTGTTAGATTTTCCAGAAGGACATGGGATAATTATGGGCGCTTTTCATGTAGAGGTTTCAAGAGAAAATTACATCGGTGAGAAAAAGGCAAGGAAACGTGCCAAGGAGTTTTTCCCTCTCAGCGTACCTGCCCATTCTTCTAGACCAACAGGTCTGTATTGCGGGAATCCCACTGGGAAACCTGGCCTCACTGATGAAATGGCCGGGGACCATGCCTAACCTCTGGCTATCCAAACACAAGGAGAATCCAGCTCCACGTCTGCCCATCAGTGATTGCTGTGGGTTTGGGGTCAGCCATGCCTCTGCCCTAAGCTTCCTTTACCCTATGCTCACGCCAACTGTCCCTCCCAGGACACGACTCTCCTCTGGTGGGCTTGATAGTTTACTGCAGTGGCCACACACAACTCACAGTCAGTACTTGGGATGATGGAATTTTAGGGAAACTCACAGGTCACGAAATGTTAAGGATAGAGTTTTCTCATCCACAGGGCTTCTTCAGAACCATGATAGCAGGCATCTCTCTCTCTAGTCTTTGGCCTCTCACCCACATGGTCCTTTAACCTCTGCCTCATTCCATGGGCCAAGAAGCCCACATGCCTCTTGCCTTAGTTGCAGGACTGCTTCTCAGCTCTTGTCTCTTGGTTCTGGTGCTGCGGGCCCGGGTACCTCTGCTGCCTCCACCACTTCAGGTGGGGATCTCCCACCTACTCCTCACCGGTCTGGCGCATGCTCTGTTGGTGGCTCTTGTTTCTTGCTGGTCATCTGATTCCTCTGTTCCTGCTTCTGGGGAGACTCATTTTTAGGCTCAGTTGAACGGCAGCACATTATTTGCAGTCACTGTGCGGGGGTTACAAAGTCTCTGGATAGAAGGCCCAGGCCAAGTAATTTCATTTCATCGCACCCATCTACCCTACAATCCTGATCTTGCCCCTCAGAGTTTTTTCGCTTTGGTTCCCAGTGCTCAGTGGCGACTTGGAAGGGACATGGTGTACGGTCATTAGTGATGCCCACACTGTTTGCATGTGGTGAACATCAGAGAGCACAGACGTCTTCAGGGCAGGGTCAGAGATGGCAAGACTGCCTGCAGAAGTGGGGAGAGCTAGATGGGGGATATGTTGAGCAACAGTAGCTGCACATCTTGATGTTTTTGTTGATGAAAGGCTTTCATGCTTTTGTAGCGTGCTTTTTGGCATTCCTTGTGTTTGTTGAGTACTTTCTGTGTGGCAGGGACTGTGGAACGGACTTCTCACGTACTCAGGGATGGAAGTGTTGTTTTTGTTCTCCAGGCGCTTAGGCATCTAGTGCTGACCGGTCCAAATGTAAAACACTGTTCTTGACTGGGTGCCAGGCACGATCCCCTGGATTCGTTGTGAATCTCTACTTCCTTTTGAGAGTGCCCTTTCTTGCCGTGCCCTGTGTACTCGAGTTCTCTTTTTCTCTGGATTTCCTATTCTTTCCCTGCCTCTGGGATCAGTCTTCAAGGTCTGTATCCACAAACTGTTGGGGGAAAAAAAAGATCTGTTCCCACAGATGATTCCTAGATTAACCCATCTGCCGCTGACCACCCAAGTGAAAGCTTTCATTTTCCTGGCATTTTGGATATCCTATTGGATATTGTCTTCCAGTTACCTCATAATTGGCAGCTCCCCAGACTTGCAACCTTAGCATTGCCTTTCCTGCTTTTCAGTTGTATGCCTTGCGCATATACTGTCAGGCGTCGTTCTCTGCAGGCCTCTAGAATGTCCTGTGCGCCAAGTGCCGTGTCATCAGCAAGGCACTCCTTGGGCCTGTTCATGCATCCCTGCACCCTTATTTTAGGGCAGAGCCGCGTTATTACGAGCTGCTGCTTCGGTGCCTTTTCAGAAATCCGTAGGGAGCCCCACATGCCACTGGCAGAGGAGTTCCTGAGGCAAAATTCTGAACTTATATTTGCTTATTTTTTTTCAAGAAATACTCTTGTAGAATGAGGTTGAATATATAACATTAAGAATGTCACTTTGGGAAGGGGGAGGGAGCACTGGAGCTGATGGTGATTGAACAGCTCACTTTGGAGGCAAATCAACTGGGGAAGGAATGCCCCAGTATGGATGTGGTGGTGATGGTACAGTTCCCGTTTGATATGTTTGAACAATCGAATGATTTGGTTCGTTGATATTTAAATTATGTGCCAATAAAACAGTTTGAAAATAATAACAGCACGCATGTAGAAAGCACAGTTGCAAGATTCTCTCTACTCTTTCTGAAGTTGTGTTGCACTTTGTGTGAATTGGTGATAGCACAACTCCCTGCAAAGCAGCAACCCCTTAAGTTACTTTATATACCGGCATCCATCGGGGTCTGGAGCGCTGGTGGCATAGTGTTACACACTGCTACTAGTGCAAGGTCAGCAGTTTGAAACCACCGGCCACTCCAGCTGTAGACAGGTGGGGCTTTCTGCTCTTGCAAACAGTGGGTCTCAGAAACTCAGAGGGGCAGATATACCTGCCCTACACATCATTTTGGTTTTGGTTTATTAGGGGTGAGAAGAAATGAGCCCCAACCTGGCAATCCAGTAGAGAGAGCAGTTAGTTTAATCTGTGAATGCTTGAGAAAAAAAAAGTTGACTGAGTGTTCGTCCCTGGGTTAATTTCTCACAGTCAACAGGCTGGTGGCCCTAACTATTTTTTATTTGAGGATGTTAACCTTGCCACCCAGTGTTCCTCTAAGATTCATGTCCTGGATGAGTCTCCCCCTTCTGCCTCATTAAATGCAGTAGAAACATGAGTGTTATTAAAAGGCTTTTGGTGGGTGCAGACTGGATCCTCCTGAATGTAAGCTCCCTGAGTGCAGGGACTTTTCCTTGTTTTATCTGAGCGGCTTCTGTGACTCAGGCCCTTGGTGAGAGTGTGCGTTGAGTGTTGCTGGTCCATACATGCTACTGTAGGCCACCCACCAGTTTCATTTCCCAGCCTATGCACCTTATGCACAGCTGTCACCCGTCTGCCCCAGGAGATGTGTGTGATGCTATGATGTTGGTCAGGTGTCATGCAGCCTCTAGACACACAGACTCGGAAGAAAGGCCTTCAGAAAAATCAGCCTGGGTAACCCCTGAATCACAGTAGTCCCACCCTGTGGAGCAGTTGGGGGTTCGACCTGCTGACCTTTCAGCTGTGCACTTTTACCACTGTGCTACCAGCATTCCTTAGATTTAACAGTAGAAAACTTGAACTTCTCGAGGTCTTTAAATAATCTCACTGCCTGCACAGGTAGGAATCTTACAGTAGTCGATCTTGATTTCCACTACATCCTTTGTCTTATTTTATCCTACATTGTACTTCCCGCATGTATCCATAGCATCTGATACGGGGCCTGGAGAAGTAGATTTTTGAGTGACTGGACAGTGTTAACTGTGGTTAAGTAGGAATATTGAATGGTTAATGCCCTGGGTTGATGTAGCGCTTAAAGGTATTTTAAGGATACCTTGTTACAAAGTCCCAGAGAATTTCATTATAATAAAATATCCCAAGACGTGTGTGTATATACTATTATAAATCACTTTGGATGTTCTTCGAATCTAGTCGTTGGTATGTTCTTAAGCTTTCCATGTAAGGAGTTGGCTTTTGTTCGCTTGATCCAATTTGGCATGTACAGACTTCCTATTATCATCTACGCACTCTCAAGAATAAGAATGTCTATAGCTTTCTAAGTCACTTTAGGGTGTTTTTTTCTTTTGGTGATAGTCTGTTTTAAGATTTAAAAGGTTTTTCAGATATTGAAACTTTATAATAAAAAGAGGTAGAGAGATTAAATATGTGCAGATATAGTAAACTACCTCATTTTGAAACAGAAAAAGTACATTTTCATAATAACCTGGAATCTCATTAGTCTACTTACAGACTTTCTAGTTATTCATATTGAATTGCTAAATACATCTTTTGAACTCATTTTTTAAATGACTGAATTTAAATAAATTATGTTTGGACATAATGCTTGCCTTATCACTAAGATCAATGAATTATTTCCTTTTATTATTTACGCCCCCCCCCCAGGTGTTCTGTGGATTGACTCTTCATTGATTATAAACAGCTACAATAGAGTTATGGCGACTTTTCAGACTTTCAGAAAGAGTCACATGAAGACGAAAGCATCGGTCAGAAAAGTAAGTTCACTGGGGTTACTTCTAGTGAGAGTTTTACTGAGAATGTTGACCATTCCTTTAAGTTTTGTTAACTGGTTACGAGGTCCTTGTTTTGCAGTGCATCTCATTATTTAAATCAGTAACATCATAGAAGACTAAGGTAAGCAGGTCAGAAAGCAGTACT